AAACATTCGTCAAGTTGTCTCCTTTTCGAAGGCTGCTCAGCACTGCCTCTATCCTCGAGTCTATCAACTAATCACAAACAGTTCTTACATAACCTCTTGCCGGTATTCCTTACATTCAATTGTTGTCATTGAAATCGATGACGTTACCTAATTTCCATATAAGTAGTTTTCGAGTTCTATTTCTGGGATTACTGCTAGTCTCAGAAACCACTTAAATGGATATAAATAGAGTTAAATGACTGCAGAACAACGGGACTAAACCGTTGTTTTCCGATGAGATTGACCTAATCATAAACTTTCATACGCAATCATAGCCTCCACAACAAAGTTATGTCAAGAAACTCATCGAGGCCCAATTATTCTACGTATAAAAATTATTATTGATGGACTTGTGTTCTTCTGGATAGTGAAACTAACAGAACTGTCGCGGTTATCACCTTTTGGTCAGTCCACTCCGTTCGTCGAACCTTGCTGCATCTGTCCGGTTAGATCTATTTTGACGTTTTGATGTGCCTAGTTTAGTCGGTTTGCCAAATCCCACATTTGTATTGAAAATTTGCTCATAACATAATCGAAACTATATGAGGTCGCAGAAGACCAAAAACCCTCAAAATGCTTGTTATTGTGGTTATGAGTGGTGTAACTACAATCACCATTATTATTCGATTATTGTTTTTATTATAGTCTATTACCATACAAATTAAACCTTTCAAACTTTCGTGCAGCGATGCGCCGATTTTGACTGCATATAAAGCTGCCTGGCTTAGGATGTATACACAGAGACGACTTAATGCTAAGAAGCAAACAATAAAGAAATAATAAGATATTTAGCTAGCCGAATTCGCTTTAAATAATGAAAAAAGCTGGTCTTAAGACGACATTTGAATTTATTCTTATTGGCGGTCAAAAGGTTTACTTACCCAAACTGGACTACCGTTTCGACCTTACCTCTGCAAATTTTTATCTACCTCAAAGCGACTCTATACCGATCGGGGGCTCAACGTAGCAACAAGGTACCACAGCTACGATGGCCAGTCGATTTCACAGTAGACGTGACATTTGAGGAGAACCAGGCTTCTCTCAATTCACAATTACTTCACTTTTATTCAAGATAAGGTGATAGTTTTTAAACTAATATAAGAAATTAAACATATAAATAAATATAGGCAAGCAAGACGTTGTTAGGTAACAATGAATAAATAAAAATTTTAAAAACTAACTCCTAAGCTCACTAAATGAAGAACAAATTTATGTAATTTTAACTTTTATCATAACTTTTCATCTAAAAGCCCATCTAGATAAATAATCTACAATAATTGATAATTGCATAAAACCTAAGTAAGATATTCCTAAAAATTAAAAAAAGATTATTCATGCACAAGATCTAGTTTTGAGTCGCCTAATCGAGGCTAAAACTGGCGTCTATTTGAGGTGATAAAACCTTTGACGGCAAGATAACGCAAAAATTTAGTGCTATTTTTATCCTAAACGACTAACAGTTAGCAGCTTCTCACTCAAATTAATGATGGTTTGGGTCATTTTTCATGGCCACCCATCACAAGAAGACTTTTGACTTGGGCTTTTCTTCTAAACTTCGATACACCTTTGCTTTGCTGTATGCACTGGGGAACAGGCTATTCTCTGGGAAATACTTTCACAGAAAAATCAGAAAGTACTTTTTTGACTCCAGCCCTTGTCCGCATACTTTGCTAAACAGTTAGTCAGCTTGGATTGTTTGATGGAGGATAGTGAAGAGCCTCTTGTAATCACTTGATTGACCGCCAAAATGACAAGAAATCTCAATCGGCTTCACTTCGTCAAAATGAAATTCTCAATCCGTTTGGACTGTTGTCTCATTATCAATCAATCCAACGGGACTGGAAACCACGTCATACACATCGCGGCGACATGTCACTTGGTCGCATATGTAGCCAGGTCTCTTCCAAATCATATTTTAGTTGGATTCTCGACGTACTACATTTTTGAGACTATCAGTCAAAAGTGGTTCTTGAAAAATCCCTTATAGTTGAAGTTTGAAGTACCCTTCACTTCATTCATTTGTCCATCACATGACGGATGAAAACTCAGCATAGAAGGATCGGGATCGCGGAACAATGTGTCGAGGAATGATTCGCACAACTCTACAGTCACGGCTTCTAGGCAGGTCAATTTACAAATCCTTTTCAAGCGAAAAAAAAAGTTTCATATGCGAAGAAAAGTTGGGTCTTGAGGAATCCATTTCGAGCAAAAGTGTTTGGTAAAGAGCTTCAAAGGTCGATTCCAGCAGAAGACGACGGCGGATTCCTTTGACCAGCAGTCGATAGGCTTTACTCGAACATTCATACTGACGTTGTTTTCGAGGCAATCTCCTTCGATTCCGATAAAAAGGTGCTAAGCTTTCACCCGTCCTATGACGAACCACATCAGAGCAAGGTATCATCATCACAACTAAATTCACAACGCTTTCGCTCTAAATGGAAGTACGCACAACAAAAAATGTTTCATCCAAATTGAATAAGGTCTTAATCAATTAATAATTATTTTCGCAATATTTTCGTGTTGTCAGGGCAACCTAGTTGGAGGCCTCTTGTCCAAAATGTTCTGCCGACTAGGATTTCAGCGAAGCACCTGAGTAGGTACCAAGTCCAAGTTCCAAAATTGAAAATTATCACACCTACTGAGAACTTAGGCTAAGATTCGTC